AATTCGCCACAAAAACTGAGAGTGATTCTGTCATGTTTTGATCATCTCAAAAGAAGAATGGAAAGGATGGAGAAGAGAAACACACTGAAAAAAGGGGGAAGGGAGAGGAACAATGGGGACATTATTTCATATATATAGATTGTGCAGAAAGGAGATTATGAGAAGAGGGCAGTGGGAGGGAGCAGATGACATTTGAATGTCACTTCCATCTGAACTGGCTAAAGGAGGGAAGAAGACACACATACACAAATATATACAAAAATATCTTAGACAACAGGGAAATAGGAGGGAAATGTGTTAAGAGAAAGGAGAGGAATAAGAGGCAGAGGAAGGTGGGTTAAGGGAGGCATTAGTCAAAACCAAAACAGACTCTAAAAGAGGGGTGAGGAGAAGAGAAGAAAAAGTATAAGAGTTATGGATGGAGTGAAATAGTTAGCAATCATAACTATGAATGTGAATGGGATGAACTCACACAGAAAATGGAAGAGGATAGAGGAATGGATTAGAAATCAGAATCTAAAATACATTGTTTATAAGAAACACTCATGAAACAAAAATATACAGTTCTCATTTTATGTAAATCTGCAATATGCAAATTTGACTTTAGGTAAAGAATTCTGAAAGAAATCTGTATTCCAAAAAAAAAAATCTATGTTAACTTTACTGTATAGTATTGTGCTCTCTCCACTCCTGCCTCTCAGCTCAGTGCTCCTTGGCCTCCCACCCCCCCTACTAAAAAAACAAAAACAAACAAACAAACAAAAAAACCCTAAGAGAAAAGCCACTGCAAGTAAAAGAAGAATGAAGACCACCACCCTCCAGTGCCCAAAGAGGAGATCTTTGCCCTATTTCAACTCCCATGTGTCTGTCTTCTGTCTGTCTGTGCTTGGTTACCATATGTTTGTTCCCAGTCCCCACATATCACCCATCCTCTCCTATCTGTGTCTATGTCTGGCCCCCACATGTCTGCCCTCTGTGTGTTCTTCCTCTCAGTTCCAGCCAGGCCCCTAGTGGTTGGCCCCAGCCCTATGTGTTCCTCCTCCTGCTCTTGCTTCTCTGTCCCTGGCCCTCATGTATCTTTGAACCATGTGCTGGCTTCCTCTCTTTATGGGTACACAGCTCTCTTCCTGCTTTCCTTCTTCCCTCCCTCCCTTCCCCACAGAACAGGTCCACTTGCATAAAATGAGAACTGTCTGTATACACAGGGTTAAAATAAGGGACTAGAGCAGAAGCTATTTTGTTTTAGCTGAAGTAAAGAAAGACAGGGATAGTAATTATGATCTCAGACAAAGCAAAAACAAAAATAGCCCTAAGTAAAAGGGAAACTACATTTTGCTAAGAGGTGCTATAGATAATGAATTAACATCAATGTGAAACATATATACACCAAATGGCATACATAACATCTAAATTCCTAAAAGAAAAATTAAATGAGTTACAGGAAGAAATAGATAATGAAACTATAATAGTAAGGGACCTCAATTGAACCCTCTCAGATCTAGATAAACCCAAATAACAAATGAACAAGAAAGAAGTTAAGGACTTGAAAAATTTTTTTAGAAAAGTTAGATGTAATAGACTTCTGGAGAATATTGAATGGAAATAAAAAGGAATATATTTTTTTCCCGGATTGCATGGCACCTTCACAAACACTGATTATGTATTAAGGCATAATAAGCTCACTAACATATGCAGAAAAGTAAATATATTAAATGTATCTCTTACTGACCATAATGCAATAAAATTACATTAAATAAACGGCCTTTAAAGCAAAATTTAAAATTAATTGGAAACTAAATAACATAATCCTAAAGAGCAGGTGGATTAAAGAACAAATTATAGAACAAATCAATAATTTCATTAATGATAATGACAATAATGGGACAATATACAAAAATCTGTAGGATGTAGCCAAGGTAGTAAATATGGGAAATTTTAGATCTTTAAATATGTTTGTTGATAAAAAAGAGGAAAAGCAGATAAATGAATCTGACATGCAATTAAAAAAACAAACAAACTAGAACACTAACAAATTAAAAACCTTCAGTTAAACACCAAAATAGAAATCCTGAAAACCAAAGGAAAGATTGACAAAATTGCAAGTTTAAAAAAAAGCAGTATAATAAATAAAGCCTAGGAGCTACTTTTTTGAAGGGAAAAAAAAACAATAAAATAGATAATCCATTAGCTAATTTGGTTTTTAAAAAGAAAGAATAAAAAAATTACCAGTATCAAAAAGAAAAAGGTGAATTCACAACAAATGAAGAAAAAAATAAAAGCAATTATTAGAAGCTATTTCACCCAACCACATACTAATAAAAATGACAACCTAAATGGGATGAATAGTCACAAAAACATAAATAACTCAGAGTAATAGTACAGGAAATAGAATACTTAACCTTATCTTAGAAAAAGAAATTAAACAAGTCATAAGTAAACTCCTAAAGAAAAATACCCAAGACCAGATAGATTCATAAGAGAATTCTACCAAACATTTAAGTTAATTCCAAAACTATATTAACTTCTTGAAAAAGTAGGTAAAGAAAGGGTCTTCCCAATTCCTTCTGTGTTCTTGTGTCTTTGATATGTAAACCAGGGAGATTCAAAACAGAGAAAGAGAACTATAAACAAATTTCCCTAATGAAAATTGAAGCAAAAAATTTAAATAAAACATTAGCAAGGAGACAAGAGCAATATATTACAAAGATCATGCTCTCTGACCAGGCTGGATTTATATCAAGAATTCAGGGCCAATTCAATATTAGGAAAACTATAAACATAATTGGTCATATTAACAACAAAAACAACAAAAATCATGTGATTATTTCAAACAAAAAATGCAGAAAAAGATGCAGAAAAAGCATTGGACAAGGTACAATATGCATTCCTTTAAAAAACACTAGACAGCATAGGAATGAATGGAGCTTTCCTTAAAATTATGAGGATAAAATGGTATTGATTGTGAGACAAGGGAAACACTGGCACAGGACTATCCAGCACAGTGTGCTGGCATCAAAGAAGGTTCTGTGCTTTACTTGCAAAGAAGAATAAAACTAGCTCAAAAGAAATGTGAGATGTGCAGATTTGAAGATATCTCCATCCTGAATGTTCATATAGACTATTTGTGCCTGACTTGTGGTAGTTTTCTAAACTCGTTAATGGTCAGATACGCCGACCCCAACATTGTGATGTCATTATGGTCCTCTTCAAGCATGAAGGAAAAACAACAACAACAAGTAGACTCTATCTAAAACCAAGAGCAAGGGAAAAATAAACTAGAAGCCTTTCCAATAAGATCATTACTATTCAAGACTATATTAGAAATGTTAGCCATAGTAATAAGACAAAAAAGAAATTAAGTGGAAAGGCCTAGGCAAAGAGGAAACAAAAACTATCAGTCCTAGGCTTAATTCGGCTTTGTAGGGTTACTCTCTTTTTTGGGATTTACTCCTTAGGCATCTCTCAGTCCAATGTATTGGTTTTCAGTTCTGCTCATAACAGTTTCAGTGTCTGAGGTGCTGATTCCAGAACCAAACTTTTCTTCCTGGGTGGACTGGATAGGCCCCAAAGGGCTGGAATTGACTAGCCCTTTCTCTCATTGTTCAGCAAAGATTTCTTGGATGCCTGACTACGGCTGCCTAGATTCTGTCTGAGGCCTTTCTTCTGCTGTGGTCCAGGCATTTTCCTGCTGCTTTGGGGATCCTCATTTGCTCTTTCACTGGACTCTGCCTGGGCCTCTCTCTTGCTGTGAGGCTCAAGGATTACTCCCTTGTGCTGGATTCTCGCCAGGAGGCCCTGAGTTCCACTCTGCTTAGGGACTTTCTCTTGTTGCTCAGCTCTAGGACTGCCTTCTTGTTGGGTTCTTGTACTGGCTCTGGATGTTCTCATACTGGATTCTACTTAAGGCTTTTTTTCATTTCACAGTGCTTTGGGGCCAGCCTCTGTGTTTGTCTTTTCCTGGGGCTTTTCTTTTGCCATTAGGCTCTTGCCAATGAACTCTGAGACTGCCTCTACTCTGGGTTGTTGACTACTTGTACAATGCAGGTAGTGGTCCTTGCCCAGTCTTGTCACTCAGTCCACTAACCCTGCTCCATGATGCTTTAACAGCAGGCAGATTGGGTCGGAGGTGCTTATCAGAAAATAGGCAAATCCCCAATCTGCCCAAGTTCACGTTCACACTGAATTCAGCATTCTATACTTGAGCACTAGAAATGATCACAGCCCTGACAGGGATTTCTAAATGGGCACATGATGGCTATTGTTAATAATCTATTGTTGATAGGAACTGAGCGCTCAACCTTTTGAGGGAACTGTTATTGTTACACTTTTGCCTGCTCAAGAGAAGACTCAGTTGTACTTTGCTTTAGAATTCCTAGGTCCCGATACATGCTATGTCTGGAAGGACTTCTGGGATTTGGAAGGGAAATGGACTTTTAGCCACTTAGTAGATGTTTTGCATGGATCGGTTTATTTGCAGTTATCTCATATCTATCTATCTACCTGTCTCCATCTATATTATACATGTTGGCCCAGTCACGGAATGTAACAGCTATGAGGGCAGAGACTATTTTTTGTCTTTGCATAGCACAGTGTCTTGCACTTAATAAATGTTTGTTGACTGATCATGCATTGTATGAGTTTGTTATCAGACACTGTTTATTTACTCTATCCATGAGCCAGGTCACTAGTGAGACAAATGCTTTCTGCAATGCAGTAGGCGGAGCAAATAAGTGGGTGGGGTTTCCTGATTGACAGTTCAGAGGTTCAGCCACTGGATCACCCAGAGGTCCATCCCAACTGAGTGAGGCCAGGGGACTGATTCTGGCCAGACAAGTAAAAGCACTTAGTCTTTCCCCAAGATCATTCCCTATGGCTGCCTCTAAGGCGTAGGGCCGCAGCCCCAAACTACCAGTCCCAGCATGCATTGTGACCTCAGAGAAGGCGGAGAACGGGAGGAACCACGCCGCCTGCCCCCGCCCCATTCCCTTTCCCAGAAGGCCGCGAGCGGAAGTACGCCTGCGTAGCCCGGGCGCCAGCTCGGACCTCGGCTAGGGATCCAGATCACCCCGCCTCTCCCTGGTTGTTGCGTTCAGTTACGGACGGAAACGCCATTAGCCCGGCTGGTCGTTGGCGTGCGCGCGCAAAAGGCATCCGCTGCCTTTCCCCTTCGAGTGTATACGCCCCCCCCCACGCACCTACGCATTCTGTACCTCCCTCGTTCCCCTCAGGCAGTCAGCGCGGCGAGCTGGGCCGAGCGAGCCTCTGCCGCCGATTGGGGCCGCTCGGGCGGGCCGCCCTGCCGCCACCGAGGTAGGTGACCTCCCTGCTTCCCTGGCAGCCTTCGCCATTGGGGCGCTCTGGGGGAGGCCGCCCCCTCTTCTCTCTCTGTTCCCCCCACCTCCCCCCTTCTCCAGTCTCCCTCTTCCTCAATCTCCCCCCTCCTCTTTTTTTTCCTCCCTTCCCCCTTTTCTCTCTCTATTCTGCGGGGCGGGGCCTGTGGGGGGGCGGGGGAGAAGTGGAGCGCCAGGGCCGAGATCACTAGGCCCCACCCTTATCCGGAGCCTCCTTCCTTCCTTTCCTGCTTCTTTCCGTGGCCACTCCTGCCTGTCCAAAGGGAAGAATCCTGAGATGCTGAGGGGAAGGGCTGTCTATAGCTTCTCACCAATGTTGTGGAGACACCCCCCTCTTTCAGTTTAGCTAGTGGGCTTTGGAGTTGCCATGGGATTAAAAGGAAAAACACAAAGAAAAGCACAGAATCCGAAACTGAGAGGATGCCCGTCGATTGGGGAATGGCTGAACAAGTTATTGTTTATGAAGGTGATGGGTAACGCCATTGTGCTGTAAGAAATGATGAGAGGGATGGTCCCAGACAAACTGGGGGACCTGCCTGAACTGTTGCAAACTGAAATGAACAGCACCGGGAGAACAGCAACCATACTGTAAAGACAAATCAGTTCTGAAAGATTTAGTGACTGATCAACACAATGGCCCACCACAATTGCAAAGGATTTGTGATGAAACATGCTGGCCACGACCATAGAGGGCTGATGCATTTGGAGGGCAGGACGAGGCGTATTTTTGGACATGGCCAGTGTGTGGATTTGATTTGCTTAACTATGCTTATTTGTTATAAAAGTAGTTGCTATGGCAGGAAGATGTTTTTCCTTGTGACCAATTTAGTGGTAAACCTGTCTTACTTCCATTATAAATAAACTGATCCTCAAAGTTGATAAGCCTTGTAGAGTTTGTGCTTAACTGGCACCGACCTCACAGGTAGACACAGTATCACCTGCATACCCATAGGCTCTACTCCGGTATAGAGCAAAATTTTGTCATTGATTGAAAAAGCTATGAGAATAAAGGAAGGAATAACACATTTAGGAAGGAAGCCCGAGACACTGTGTGCTAAATACTATGCTAAGTCCTGGGTATATAGCAATACAAGATGGAGACATTTCCTGCCCTGGAAAGAACTTACCTTCTAATTGAGGAAACAATTCGCATTGGACACTGGTAGCCAAAGATGGATGTTTTGGTCTGAGAACTTACTGCTGTTATGAGTGGAGCCATAAAAGAGTTGATTGAAATGTTTACATTATATTTTAAGATAACTCCTATTTTGTAGTGCCAAAGGTTTTCGTCAAGGATGCTTTAAACATCTGACTAAATCTAATAAGCACATCTGGAATTTTACAGATAGCCTTATACTGAAGCCCCTGCTGCAAATTCTGCCCCCCCCGTCCATTCCACTTAGCTGTCAAAGTGCCCAAAGAGCAGTTCTTTTTTTTTTATTTTTACTTCTGACATCATAGTGCATGTTACCTTTAATTCCTCAACCCTGACTAACCTGGATTTTATTTTATATCTTCTTTGAATAATATTTCCCCAATTACATGTAAAAACAATTTTTAACATTATTTTTTCAAATTTTGAGTTTCACATTCTCTCCATCCCTCTCCCCTCCCTGAGATGGTGAACAATTTGATATAGGTTATATATGTGCAGTCATGCAAAACATTTACATGTTAGTCATGTTGTTAAAAAAAAAAGGCCAAAAAAACTACAAAAACAATAAATGAAAAATAATATTCTTTGATCTTCATTCAGACTCCATCAGATCTTTCTTTGGAGTTGGATAGCATTTTTCATCATGAGTCCTTTGGAATGGTCTTGAATCATTGTATTTCTGAGAATAACTAAGTCATTCACAGTTAATCATTATACTGTTAGTGTGTACAGTGTTCTGATTCTGCTCACTTCACTTTGCAGAAGTTCACGTAAGTCCTTCCATATTTTTTGGAAATCATCCTGCCTGTCATTTCTTACAGCACAGTAGTATTCCATTATAATCATATGCCACAACTTGTTCATTCCTCAATTGATGGACATTCCCTCAGTTTCCCAGTTCTTTGCTACCATAAACAGAGCTGCTATAAATATTTTTGTACAGATGTCCTTTTCCTTTTTCTTTTTTTTTAATCTCTTTGGAATACAGACCTAGTAGTTGTATTACTAGATCAAAGATTATGCACAGTTTTATAGCCCTTTGGGCACGGTTCCAAATTGCACTCCAGAATGGTTGGATCAGTTCACAATTCCACCAACAGTGCATTAGTGTTTCAATTTTTCTACATCTCCTTCAACATTTGTCATTTTTCTTTTCTCATATTAGCCAATCTGATAGGTATGGCTTGGTACCTCAGAGTTGTTTTAATTTGCATTTCTCTAATCAGTAGTGATTTAGTGCATTTTTTCATATGACTATAGATAGCTTTGATTTCTTCTGAAAACTGTGTGTTCATATCCTTTGACCTTTTATCAGTTGGGGAACCAAAGAGCAGTTCTGACCATGTCACCTTCTCCCCACCCCCACAAACTTAAGTGACTCCCAGTCACCTCCAGAATCAAATAAAAAATCTTTTTTGTCTTTTAAAGTACTGCATTACCTGTCTTCCTTCCAACCTTTTAGTCAGTCAATCAGTAAACATTCATTAATCACCTACTATGTGCCAGGCCCTGAGCTAAGTGCTGAGGGTACAAAAAAATGACAAAAAGGCAATCTGATGGAAGAGACAACGTGCAAGCAAATATATACAAAGCAAGTTATACATAGGATAAGTAGGAAATAATTAACAGAGGGAAAGCACTAGAATTAAGAGGGGTCGAAGAAGGCTCCTTGGAACTTAAGCCAGGGAGGTCAGTAGGTGGAGTGGAGGAAGGAGAACATCCCAGGCATGGGGGACAGCCAGAGAGAATGCCCAAAGCCAGAGATGGAATGTCTTGTTCATGGAACAGCCAGGAGGCCAGGGTCACTGGATCAAAGAGTACCTGTCTGGGAGTAAGGTGTGAGAAGAGTGGAAAGGAAGGAGAGGACTAGGTAATGAAGGGCTTTGAATGCCAAACAGAGCATTTTGTATTTGTTCATGGAGGCCATAGGGAGCCACTGGAGTTGGGGTGGGGGGGCAGGGAAGGGGAAGGAAAGGTGTTTTAAGATGATCACTTTGACAGCAGAGTGGAGAATGAACTGGAGAGAGAGAGGCCTAAGGCAAGGAGATCCTGAAGCAGGCTATGGAGTAATCAAGGCACAAAGTGATGAGGGCCTGCAGTACCAGAGTGATGGCAGTGTCAGAGGAGGGAAGGAGGCATATTCAAGAGGTGCTGCAGAGGTGAAATTAAGAGGCTTTGTCAACAGCTTGAATATGGAGAGTGAGGAGGTCAGGAAGATTCCTAGATTTTGAGCCTGGGGGACTGGGAGGATAGTGCTGCCCTTTACAGTAATAGGGAAGATAGAAGGGAAGAAGGTTTTGGCAGAAAGATAACTGTTTGGGGCATGTGTTTAAGATGTCTACTGGATATCCAGTTCGAGATGTCTGAAAGGCAGTTACAGATTCAAGATTGGAGGTCAGCAGAGTTTGGGCACGATAAGTAGATTTGAGAATCATCCGTGTAGAGATGGTCATTAAATCCATGGGAGCTGATGAGATCACCAAGTGAAGTAGTATACATGGAGAGGAGAAGAGGGCCCAGGACAGAATCTGGAGGAACACTTATGGTTAGAGGGCATGATCTGGAAGAGGATTCAACCAAGGAGACTGAGAAGGAACAGATGGAGATATAAGAGGAAAACCAGGAGGAGAGAGTGGTCAGCAGTGTCCAAGGCTGCACAGGGGTCAAGGAGAATGAGGACTGAGAAAAGGCCATTGGATTTGGTAACTAAGAGATCGTTGGTAACTTTGGAGAAAAGTTTTGGTGGAATGATGAGGTCAGAAGCCAGATTGTAAGGAGTTAAGAAGAGAGTGAGAGGAGAGGAAGTGGAGGCACCTATTGTCAATGGCCTTTTCTAGGAGTTTAGCCATAAAGAACAGCAGTTGTAGGACAGTAGTTAGCAGGGATGGAAGGACCAAGTAAAGGTTTTTTGAGGATGGGGGAGACATGGGCATATTTGTGGGCAGGAGGGAAGGAGCCAGTAGAGAGGGAGAAATTGAAAATAAGGGAAAGTGTGGGGGATGACCAAGGGAGCAGTCTGTTGGAGGAAACAGTATGGAATGGGATCACTTGAATAGGTAAAGGAGTGAGGCCACTTCTTCATATGAGACAGGAGTGAAGGAGGAGAGAGGGGCAGAAGGCATCTGAGTGATAGGAGATGAGAGAAAGGGAGAGGAGAAGAGGGAGTTCATGGTGAGCAGCTGCAATTTTTTCTGTACAATATGAGGCAAGATTCTTAGCTGAGAGGGGGAGAGAAGCCATGGGAGGTTGGTGGAGGGATAAGAAGGTTTGGAAAAGGTGCTGTGAAGAGTTGGGAGAGTGAATTGATAAATAAGATTGCCTAGCCACAGTGAGGGCCCAGGCGCAGTTATGTAATATCAATTTGTAGTGGACCCACTCAGAATGGTTGTGTCATTTTCTCCATCTGTGTTCAGCTGCACATGTGTAAGAATTGATGAACGGTGAGAGTGATCCAAGGCTGAGGCTTGGCTGGGTTAATTAGGGATATTGTAGGGGGACAAGAGACTCAAGAGAGGACACCAGTGTAGAGTTGAATTGGTTCATCAAGGGGTCAAGGTGGGCAGAGGATGAGAGAGTGTCTAGTGCTGGGAAGATAGCCTGGGAGAGAATTGAGGAGTCAAAGGATGGGAGGTCACAGTTCAGACGAAGATTATGGTTTGGTGAAAGACAGCAGAGGGAGAGGTAAAAAGTCAATAGATTGTGGTCAGATAAGGGAAATGCAGAATTCCTGAACACAGTTTGTGGGTGATGGCACAATCTAGAGTATGACCATCTTTGTGTGTGGCTGAAGTGGGGTGAAGGAG